ATTCCCTTACACTGTCAGTTTTCTCAGCAAACCCCTCACAAACTCTTGGAATGGGCAAACTCTTGGAAGGAAACTTCCCTTTGAAGACCACAGAGAGATTTTCAAACATACATGCCATCAGTATGCTCCTCGGTTATGTCCTAGAAGTAAGAAGTGCACACCATCTTTGAGCCTGCCTAACTGCCTGTTTGTCCAGCTGTGGGCATCCTGGCAGGGGCGGGGCGGCTTTCCTTACTAGCTCCCCCTCATGTGAGCAGATACCCCCATGTGGAGTTGGGCTTTCAACCACGCGAGGCTACCTCGCTCTGAGCTACGTACTCTATCGGACCCTACCTACCCTCTTCTTGCTTATTCCATTTCCAGCTTTTAGCCCTTGCAGCGGTTTCAGATTGTCTTGGTGGTGGTGGTGTATGCTGTCCAGCTGATTCCTACTTATAGCGATCCCATGTGACAGAGTAGAACTGCTCCATGGGGTTTTCTTGGCTGTAATCTTTATGGAAGCAGATGACCAGGTCTTTCTCCCAAAGAGCTGCTGGATGGGTTTGAACCTCCAACCTTTTAGTTAGCAGCTGAGCACTTAACCATCATGCCACCAGGGCTCCTTATTGTCTTAGTAGCCAGATCTAATCCATCTTTCCAGTTGGTCTCTAGAGAAGCAAGACCTGCCCTGGTTCTTTCTCAAGACAGTAACTTCCTCCTTTGGGTGAGCTTATTAAATCATGTCTAACCCAGTTGTTGTGTATCATTTCCTAGACGCTCTCTTGGTGTCCTGGTGACTCTGCCTACAGAGAAGGGCCCTTCTTGCTGGGCTACAACTTAGCGTCCTTGTTGTCTCTTTTAGTGTACTCAGAGAAGGGTTTAACATGTTATGACAATTGCCTTCCAGAAAGTTCCCACTGTCTTCCATTTAAACATGTAAAATACTTAAGATTATTCATGTTTTTTAAACAGCTTTATTGAGATATAAATCCATATCATACAGTTCAGCCATTTAAAGTGTACAATTCAATGGCTTTGAGTATGTATCACCACAATCAATTTTAGAATATTTTTATTACCCCAAAAAGAAACCCCATATCCATTTTTTGTTACCCCCTCAAACCTCCCATCCCACCCCTGAATCCTAGGATATGACTAATCTATTTTCTATTTCTTTAGATTTGTCTGTTCTAGATATTTCATATAAATGGAATCATTCAATATGTGGTTTTTTTGTGTCTAACTAGTTTCACTTAGCATAATATTTTCAGGTTCATCCATATTATAGCATGTTTCGGTGCTTCATTCCTTTTTATGGCTGAATAATACCATAAGATTATGTATGGATATACCACCTTTTGTTTATTCATTCACCAGTTGATGAACATGTGAGTTGTACCTCATGTTCTTTTTAACACATAAAGGCCCAGCCCTTAATCTGAGACTGTCTTTCGATTCCCAACCATTTTTTGAGGAGAGGCATTTCTTGTCATAGCCCCAGAATACTTCTTGGTTCTCTCATGAGTGTAATCCCTCCTCAAACATTATATTCTGAATATCCATAAAAAAAAATTCAGGTTTTTGTTTGTGTGTTTACAGTTAGTTTATGAAGACCGGCCAGAAGAAATGATTCTGACCGTACAGTTTCTTTTTTGTCTTTTCTTCTGTGGCATTATTTGGAGTCTAAAAATTCACTCAGTTTAGATCAGTGTTCAAACTGGTTGAGGATAAAATAAAGTTTTCCCCAGGGAGAAAAATATGAGCTAAAAGCAAAAATACCTTAGAATTTTAACAGAGGAAGCATGAACGCAGCAAGCAAGCATACTTTCTTTTTTTTTTTTTTTTAAATAATATTTTATTGTGTTTTCAGTGAAGGTTTACACAGCAATTTAGGTTCACATTCAATAAATTATACACAAGTCATTCAGTAACATTGTTTACATTCTTCACTTTGCATGGGCATTCTCATTATTTCTGTTCTGGTTGTTCCATTTCCATTAATCTAGTCTCCCTGCCCCCTTACATTCTCATCTTCGTTTTAAAGTAATTGTTGACTATTTGGTCTCATATAGGTGATATTTTTAAAGGAGCACAATACTTACGGGTGATGTTCAGGTCATTGTTTTGTGATCCAGTCTGTTATTTAGCTGCAAGGTGACCTCAGGGGTTAGTTTCGGTTCAAGGTTTAAATATCTCAGAGCATAGTCTCGGGGAGTCCTCCAGTCTCAACCAGTCCAGTAGGTCTGGTTTCTTTTCTTTTCTTTTTTTAGAAATTTGAGGTTCTGTTCCACATTTTTCTCCCGTTCTATCAGGGTCCATCTATTATGGCCCTGATTAGAAAGGTCGGTAGTGGTAGCTGGGTACCATCTAGTTCTTCTGGTCTCAAAGTAGATGAAGCCATGGTTCGTGTACACTATTTGTCCTAAGCATGCTTACTTTTTAACAAGAACTGACTAGGGGTCAGGTTGGGTCCAACAACACCTGTAATGTTTTCCTGCTGGGAACGGATTTTTCCAAGCATGCTCTCTATCCAGGCCTGGTGCTACACCTGGTAGAAACTTTGAAGGTTCACAGATTTCTCTGAAGGTTTGTAAGTGGCTTTCACTTTGCTAGTTTGAACATGAGAATGAGGTCAGATGGAGTAAATAGGACTTGGGGTTAAACTGCAGGCCAGAGCTCAAGGCTGCCGGGCAATTGGACTGACTGTTCAGTTTCGAATCCAGTGTGTCCCCCTGGCAGCTGCTGCGCGCTGGTGTGAAACGTGCTTTCTCTGGGAGTCAAGTTATTGGGATTTCTTGTGCTGATTTCTTGTGTGTCCCCACTTTAGGTGGCTGCCCTGAGGAATTCCTCCTTGAAAATCTCAGTGTGCCCTTCCCTCCCAACCATGAGATAAATTCCCTTCTGCGATTTGATGATTCACTTAAGGAGGAAAAGGCAAATAGGAAAGTGTAATGTAACAAGGGAGTCCCTGGGTGGTGTCAACATAATATATTTACGCACCAAACTATGATCACAAAAGGAAGATCAAAGTTTGATTAAATTTTGTCTCTACTTGGGTTATTTTAATTGTCTCTCTCCCCGAATTCACATGTGGAAATGTGAAAAAGCTTAGTCTTTAGAACCAACTGGTAGATCTGTGGTTCTTGGGCAAATGGCCCCCCTCTTTCTGAGCTTGTTTAGGTCTTAAGGATGCTTCCTCCCACCCTACAAGAGAGTTAGTGAGGATTAAATGAGATAGCTTGTGTAAATCACCTAGTACAGAAGTGCTCAATAAATGCTGTTTCTAAAATTCTTCTCCTGAAATTGATTTTTTTTTTTTTTAACCCGAGTTCATACCAAGTTTTAGAAGAAGTGGTATATAAGGAAACATTCCAGGACCTTTCCCCACAGGATGGCGCTAGTTCTTTGTGCTTTCGGGAAACTATTTATGTCTCCCTTAAGCTCTGGTGTAGTGGTTAAGAGCTGCGGCTGCTAACCAAAAGGTTGGCAGTTCGAATCCACCAGACGCTCCTTGGACACTCTACGGGGCAGTTCTACTCTGTCCTATAGGGTCGCGATGAGTTGGAATCGACTTGACGGCAACAGGTTTGGTTTTTTGGTTTTTTAAGCTCCTGGGATTAGAGAGTCAAGCATAGGGTGAGGCCCACAGCAAGCATTTGGTAGACAGTATTTGATAGTATCAATCTAATAAACTTCAAGAGCAGTGCAGACAGTGGGACATAAGGTGATACTCGTAAGGAGTGTGCCTCTTAGCTCAAGTAGATACAAGAGACTAAACGGGCAGCTTCTGTCCAGAGGTGAGATGGGAAGGCAGAGAGGGTTAGAAGCTGGTTGAATGGACATGAGGAATCGGGTGGAAAGGAGGAGTGTGCTGTCACAGTATGGGGAGAAAAATTAGTTACATAATAATGTATGTATAAATTTTTGTATGGGAAAAAATAAAAGATAAATTAAAAAGAGAACAGTACAGCCTTTAAGATAAAGTCTGTCCTCCCAAAGGGGTGTGGAAGCTTTAGCAATGATGATTGTTTTTCATTTGCATCTTAATGTTTGAGGACCAGAGCCACAAACTGAAGAGCCAGAAGTGGATTCCAGCAACTTCAAATACCATATTAATGCCGTCAATATCCAAGCAGACAAGTTGCTTTTCCTCCAGTGACTTTCTTGGCAGAAAATTAAAAAGGAAAAAAATGGTTGCAGTTTAAGAAAACGTTGTGGTGCTTGGTGATAATGACTTACATGTCTATAATGCTTTCCAGCTTACAGAATACTTTCACGTTATTATTTCCCTGAATTCTCACAACTCCCAGGAGTGGGTAAGAGAATACTGCATTATGGTTAAGGAAGGGCTACCTCTACCACTTACTTACTGTATGGCTGTGTGTGTTATTTAAGCACTCTGAGCTTATTGTCCTAATTCTTAAAATGGGAATAATACCACCTTCCTTTTAGGATTACAGATTTAGTACAAATTGTATGAGAATGTATGGATAATGCCACCACATAGTAAGTGCTTATGAAATGGCAACTCTTAGTATACAAATAGGTATAATAATCCTCACTTTACTGATGAAAAACCAGTTGCTCTCCAGTCGATTCTGACTCATGGTGACCCATGTGTGTCAGAGTAGTCTGTGCTCCATAGGGTTTTCAAGGTTGGGCTCTTTTGGAAATAGGTCACCAGGCCTTTCTTCCAGGGCACCTCTGAATAGATGCAAACCTCCAACCTTTCTGTTAGCAGCCAAGCATGTTAACTGTTTGTACCATCCAGGGACTCCCTTTTCAGATAAGGAAAATAAAAATGACACTCAGTTTGCCAGAGATCACGCCGCTAGTATGTAATTGGTAAAACCAAAATACAACATCAATTTTTCTGACTCTCATTCCTCTTTCCACAACACTTTAGCAAACGTGTAAATCAGGAATACGTCCATGTGTTTGCTGACAAAATTCACCACTATAACTCTTACTTAGTTTCTCTGGTGCACTAATATTGTAATTGTCCACTTTTGTATTCACAGAACATCATCAAGAAGGTGATTGGGCAGAAGTTTGTGTACAAGTTTGTCTCTTTCCCAGAGATACTGAAGATGGATCCGCATGCGGTGGAGATCAGCCGGGAGAGTCTTTTGCTGCAGGACAGAGACTGTAAGCTGCCCCCCGAGGTCCGCGAGGCACACAAACACAGCCTGTCGGCCCTCAAAAGCACGAGCCGCAATGAATACATCCACTCAGGCCTGTACTCGTCCTTCACCATCAACTCCCTACAGAACCCACCAGATTCTTTCAAGGCAATCAAGACAGAGAAGCTGGAGGAGCAGCCTGAAGGCAGCCCTCCTGTTGAAGAAGTCAGGACTGTCATCAGGTTTGTGGCCAATAAAACCAACAAGCATGTCACCAGGCCTGTGGTGTCCCTGCCCTCCACGTCCGAGGCCGCAGCTGCGTCTGCTTACCTGGCCTCATCCGTCTCAGCCAAGATCTCCTCCTTAATGTTGCCAAATGCCGCCAGCATTTCCTCTGCGTCACCTTCCTCATCGAGGTCCCCATCCCTGTCCCCCAACTCACCCCTCCCTTCTGAACACAGAAGCCTCTTCCTGGAGGCTGCCTGCCATGACTCGGATTCCCTGGAGCCCTTGAACCTGTCATCAGGCTCCAAGACCAAGTCTCCGTCTCTCCCCCCAAAGGCCAAAAAACCCAAAGGCTTGGAAATCTCTGCACCCCCACTGGTGCTCTCCGGCACCGACATTGGCTCCATTGCCCTCAACAGCCCAGCTCTGCCCTCGGGATCCCTCACCCCAGCCTTCTTCACCGCACAGGTAAGAGCCAGCCCTGTCCTCCTGGTTTAGCAAAAGGAAGAAAGAACAAACAAAACTACTTCCTTCCATCCTTTAAAAGATAATCCCTAGGGCCCATGATCTGTACCAGTGACTGTCGAGTCAGCTCTGACTCATGGTGACCCCATGTATGTCAGAGGAGAATTGTGCTCCATAGGGTTTTCTAAAATATATGTATCGTATATTTGGTGGCAAGATACACAACCAAGCATACATCCATTCCCAATTTCTACATGAACAGTTTAATAACATCGGTTATGTACTTCACACTGTGTCAACGTTCTCACTGTCTCTACCCATATTGTTTCATCACCATTTATTTAGGCTTTCTGCTCCTTAAAGTTCTCATCTGTGCTTTAGATTAACTGTTGTTAGTTTACACTCATATAGATCACTGTAAGAGCTCTATGTTCAAGGCAAACATTCTTCATTCATTGGGCTAAACTACTGTTTAGTTTAATGATGGCTTCATGGGATAGTTTCAGTTCAAAGTTTAGAGATTATTTTTGGGCATTAGATTCGGGGGTTGCCCCAGTCTCAACAGATCCAGTAAGTCTGGTTTCCATATGAGTTAGAGTTCTATTCTACGTTTTTCCTCCTTTTGATCAGGATCTATCTGTTGGGTCCTTGATCTCCACAGGGTTTTCAGTGGCTGATTTTTCAGAAGTAGATTGCCAGGCCTCTGGGTGGACTCAAACCACCAACCTTTCGGTTAGTGGCCGAGCGCGTTAACCATTTGCACCACCCAAGGATTCCTCATGTCCTACAATCTGTGGGACATGTGAAGGGAAATTGCTTTTCCATCCTCAGACCAAAGTGCCCACAAGAGAAAAGGTTTGGTTGTCTTGGTTACAGAAAGATGCTTGATTGCTTTCCTGCTTTGAGTGGCGTAAAGTGATCGTAAGACATAAGACGTAACATGCACACTGGCCATCAAAGCAGATTTAAACCATTATTTCCTAGGGCGACTTGAGCAGGCCAGTTTACATTTCCGAAGGCATTTGGGCTTTGTGAAGTCTTTATGGCAGAGCCCTCTCTGGGGGCACTTAATAAGTAGCCATTTGTTTACTGTTAACAAGAAAATAGATGTTAACTGATAGCACCATTGCTGTTGTCACTGTGGAGCTGTGCGTGTTCCGTGAGTCATTCAAAAGAAATGTAAGGGCCATACCAAACAGTGAGGAAGAGATTCTGTACTAAAAACAGTGCACTCTGAGGAAACCCAGGTCCATATCACGTGGGGGAGAAAACAAAGTCATGGGAGAAGAAAGTCTTCATTGTTATCAACCCCAATGATAAAGTAGACTCTTCCTTTAAGTAAAATACATGTCCTTTGTTGTCCAGATGGCAGTTGCAGGGCAAAGACAAGCTAAAACCAAAAAATACAGTTGCCATCAAGTCGATTCCAGCTCCTGGCAACCCCATGTGTGTCAGAGTAGAAGTGTGCTCCATAGGGTTTTCAATGGCTGATTTTTCAGAAGTAAATTGCCAGGCCTTTCTTCCGTGGTGCCTCTGGGTAGACTCAAACCTTCAACCTTTTGGTTAGCAGCTGAGCACATTAACTGTTTGCACCACCCAGGGGCTCCCTTTAAAATATACATTGAGTGACAAAGTGGAAACCCTGGTGGCACAGTGGTTAAGAGCTGTGGCTGCTAAGCAAAGGGTCGGCAGTTCAAAGCCACCAGGTGCTCCTTGGAAACTCTATGGGGGCAGTTCTCCTCTGTCCTGTAGGGTCGCTATGAGTAGGTGGCAGTAAACCATATTTCTGTCTTCTCTTGAAAACGTGGATGCAATTTAGTGGTTAAGAGCATTGGCTGTGAGGTCATGGGGCAGAATTCAATGCCTGGCTACACCCCTTAGTAGAAGTGTGGCTGTGGGAAATTGCACTCTGAGCCAGTGCCCACCTCTGGAAAATGGATTGTTGGGAGGATTTAATGGGATAATGGCCACAGTCAGTGAGCTACAACTGGTAGGTACTGTTATCATTGAGCATTGTGCCTCCAGGGTGTGGGCGTGTGTTTAAGCAGGTGGAACACTCTCTCTGTAATTGTTAGCATTCTTGTCGTCAATATCAACATTATTGTAGCTCTTCATATGTGCCAGGCACTATTTTAAGCACTTTACATGCATCCCCTTGTTTATTTTTCCTAGCAACCCTATGAAGTAGATAGTATTAGCATCCCATTTTCCAGCTAAGTAAAATGAGGCACAGAAGTAAGGTAACGTTGTCCAGGATCACACAACAAATAGGTGGTAGGAATGAATTCGAGCCCAGTGAGTCTGCCTCCAGAGGCCATGCTCTTAAGTAAAAGTCACAGCTGCTCTCTGCAGAACCATCATTGGGGAAATGCCCTGTCATCCCTGATCATGATGGCAAAGTTCAGGGTCATGGAGAAGTTTGAGGTCTGCAAGGCAGGTCTTTGCCATTTCCCTCTGCATGGCTTCTCCAGATTGTGGTTCAGGGATTTCATGGCAAGTCAAGCTTGTCAGCTGGTGGTAGGAGTCCCTGGGTGACACAAATAGTTAATGTGCTCTGCTGCTGACTGGAAAGGTTAGTGGTTTGAATTCACCCAGAGACACCTCAGAAGAAAGGCCTGGAAATCTACTTCTGAAAAATTGGCATTGAAAACCCTGTGGAGCACAGTTCTACTCTGACACACATGGGGTCAACATGAATTGGAGATGACTCGACAACTACTTTTTTTTTAATCTGGTGGTAACATGTTTGCCACCACAGAAGGATGAGATGAGGGCTCAGTTATGGGTCAGAATGAGCACGTGTGCTCTTAAACTGGGCATTTTCTAACAAAGCAAAACTGTCCAGTGACTAAGGGCTGCTGAGTAAATGGTTCTGAAACAGTGGCTCCTGAGATAGCTCAAAGAAGTGACTTGAGAAACTAGGCCGGGCTGGACAATCACAGGACCGCCTCCCCTAACCTCCTTTGTGTTAACAACTATAAGGTTTAGCGAGGTCTAAAGCCAGGCCAAACCCAACTCTGATTTCAATATCTGCTTTCTCTGCCAGCCTGTATTTCCTTTTCTGAACCGACTGGAACAGGTGCTAGCCCTGTAGTCGGCTCAGAGGAGATTTGCTCTGGCTTGCTGTGTGGTTTTAGACTAGATACTGTGAAGTACCCCAGCTGGCACAATAGTTAAGCACTCGGCTGCTCACCAAAAGGTTGGTGGTTTCAACCATCCAGCAGCTCCGAAGGAGAAAGACCTGGCTATCTGCTTCCATAAAGATTACAGCCTAGCAAACCCTGAGGCAATTCTGCTCTGTCACACGGGGTCACTATGAGCTGAAAATTGACTCAACGGCACTAACCACAACAGTCCCTCGGTGGGGCTGAGGGAAGGTATGACTGGGCTGAGGGGAGGAAGGAACTTGACATGAGACAGGGTTAGAGGGTGGTTGCAAATGAATGGACACAAAGCTTAAGACCCCAGGACAGAACCTACTAGAATGACCTAAAAGCAGACAGGGGAAAGTATAGGATGCTTTCACTGAGGACCTGTGCTTTAGGCAGATGAGTTGAGAGGACGTGGCCCTGAAGTTTGAGTTAGTACTAGGAAGTCCAAGAAATGAGACTGGGGCTTCCCGAGGGCAGGGAGGCAAAGGCTAGGGAAGTGGAAGTAGGGTGGCCAGGGCCAAGAGAGAGCCTAGATCAAAGGAGGGAGGGCATACGAGTGCTTTAAACCTGTTCAGAGCTCAGGGAGTCATGCCGTGTTTGTGAGGAGCCCGTACCTCAGGACTCAAACCCCACCTTGAGATTCCCTCACCTTCCAGGAGTGTCATGGGTGGCTTGCCCATGGGTGGCAGAGAGGGAGAGAGAAAAGAGGTAAGGAGGGGGAAACCAGAGAGAGCAGAGAAAGGTCAGGACTTGGGGTATGGTATTCAAAGCCCAATTCTCTGGCCGATTTCACCCAGGTGGTTTCCTTAATAGCGTAGGATATTCAAGTTGTTTTATCTTGACTTCGGACTAGAGCCTCGGGTTGTTTAGGATTAGGGTAGGCCTGGAGTCAAGGTAGGATTCCCTTGGTGGTGCAAATGGTTAACCCCATCAGCTGCTAAATGGTTGGAGGTTTGAGTCCACTCAGAAGGGCTGCAGAAGAAAGGCCTGGTGATCTATTTGTGTGAGATTACAGTCAATGAAAACCCTGTGGAGCACAGTTCTATTCTGACACATATGGAGTCGCCATGAGTCAGAATTGACTCGACAGCAACTGGTTTTGGAGTTAATATAGGATTTGGATTCTCTGACATTCCCTCTCCCAGGAGCTGTTTCAGGGGGTTAATATAT